CTCCTACCACCTAGCTGGATGACAAGCTTAAATGAGGTTCCTGAGGAAAGAGATCTGATCTGTATCATTCACTCACACCTATATTCTAATTTCCATTATGTTGAATAGAAAATATTCCACAAATACTTGTTAAATAAAGGATATGATGATCCAATTAAAAAATAGAGAGAGAGAGAGAGAGAGAGATCCACTCATAACAACCTTATAAGACAGAGTAGAACTGCCTCCTCAGGTTTCCAAGGCTGTCAATCTTTACAGCTCCCGAAGAGCAACTGGTGGGTTTGAACCACTGACCTTTTGGTTAGCAGTTGAAAGCTTTGACCACTACACCACCAGAGCTCCTTAAGGACCCAGTGTTGTTGTTGCTGTTCGGTGGCCTTGAGTTGGCTCTGACTCATAGTAACCCTGTGTACATGAGAACAAAACCCTGCCCAGCCCTACACCACCCTCACAATCCTTGCTATGCCTGAGTCCATCATTGCAGCCACCATGTCAATCCATCTCATTGAGGAACTTCCCATTTTTTGCTGACCCTCTACTTCTGACTGACCAAAGTATGTGAGATGAAGTCTGGCCATTCTCACTTCTAAGGAATATTCCAGTTGCACTTCTTCCAAGACAGATTTCTTCCTTCTTCTGGCAGTTCACGGTATTTTTAGTATTCTTCGCCACCACAATTCAAATGCTATCAGGATCCTCACGGGGTCTGTATCAGGGACTCTTCTCAAACCCATTCTCAGACCTCTTTTTTCTTCTCCTTAATAGGCCCAAAAACTGTCTTTTCTTTGGTGGCTGACCCACACATTCTACTCCCTAGACTCTCTCTCTATCCCAGTTTACCTGCCGGGGACTTGTAATTCTCTCAGGTCCCATCTTCTTACTCCCACAAAAGATAAGCCCATAAACCTTCTAAGGGCTTCACAGGTGATCAGCTAGCAGAGATACAGGGGGACATAAAATTACTCCTACAGGGGAGGGGAGAAGGGCTCCAAACTTTCTCATGCCTCAAGCCTAGCAGTTCCAGAATCTCTATGGACAGTGTCTGAAAAAAAGGCTTGTGCTGGAGGGGGGAGGGGGCAGCAAAAGGGCACACCTCCAGGGAGGTTCCTCTTCCTAGCCATGAAGACAAGGAAAACACAAGGTCTCAAATAGGTAATCTCTCTCCCTGCGTCCGAAACTAGGTTGACACTCACTCACTCACTTTGCTCAAGTCCTATACCTCACAAAAAATGTGGTGTTCTCACTCAGCCTGAGATTATTAATCCTAAAAGTTCACTTTTCCAGATGAAAGCTAAGACAGGGTCACAAAAGGGGCTGGAGGCAACATCTTCTGACCTCCTGTAACTTCACAAGAGGGCGACAGAGCCACCGTCAGCAGTCCACGGTTTATTCCTACGAGGCCAGACACGGCACCACCCTCCAGCCTTTCTACCGACTCTGACACCAACCACCCTTCCCATGGCACTCACTACTTCGCTGCCGGGTTCAGTAAGTTGTTGCAATGGTCACACAGAACTCACAGACAATACTCACAACTATGGGGCTTATTACAGACAACATTCACAACTATCAGGAGCTTCTGGTGGTGTAGTGCCTAAGGCATTTGACTGCTAACCAGAAGCCTGACAGTTCAAACCCACCAGCTGCTCCTCAGAAGGAAGGTTGGGCAATCTACTTCCGTAGCGATACCACCTTGGAAACCCAAGGAGAGGTCGCTATGAGTCTGATCCAACTCCAAGGCAGTGAGTTTGTTTTTTTGTTTTGTTTTGTTTTTTGTGGAGATTAGGGAAGTAACAGGCTACAACTCAGGTTGGGAACATGCTCAGGACACAGTTCTTTGATCAGGTCAGTCTCCCCTCTGCTATGCCCTCAGGCACGGCTCTCTAGCTCCAGGCCTCTTGGCCTGGTCTCTGCCTTGCTCGGG